AGAAGTTTGAATGGCTCAATGGAAAGATAAGATGCACAAACCGGAAGTTATATAATCATATATTGAGTCACTCTTCATATAAACATGGAAAATAAGCTTCAGAGGTGATTTTCATGGGCATTTGTCGATCACTTGATCGATCATCTACTTATTAATCAAGTTATCGATAAAACACATACTCTGTTATGCTCTGTTCTTCGTTCAGCTCTGATATAGATTCGGTATTTCTCTAATATCTCTTAAACCACAAATCCGTTTGAGGTGAAACTTGATTCATATGAAACTAGACTCAGAACACGGTTCATGGACACCAAAATCAGCCTCAAAGAGTTTCATATGAGGGAGATATGTTGTTCAAAACATTGCAGTAAGGATTAACGCCTTGATTCCGACCTTCAGTCACTGTGATGAAGATAACTTTGCAACCACAATGAATTTTGGGGTGATTCTTATTGCATTAGAAAGTAGACTCAAAGAGCTTTCTGGGGATAGGTCATTTGAAAAATTTAGAGTTGAATTGGAAGAGTTATAATCACTCAAAGTTGACCTTCGTTCTCTTGAATCAGAATTCGAATTTATTGAGGCAAAGATTAGAAGTTCTACATTGATTGATTAAGCTCTCGAGCAACATGCTACTCAAACATGTTATTGAGTAAAAGCACTAGAAGAAATGAGGAAATGAAAAGCCATTATCATATTTTATTCGAGCCTGATCAAGCAACTACATACTCAATCACTTTATCGAGTTCCTGGTACTATCTCTTCAATTCTTCTCTTTTATCTTCATATGTATTATTGAGATTTTATAACCTGTTGGATAAATGGTTTTCGGATAACGTTATGGATAAATGTATTTATCGATCACTTGATCGATAAACAAAGTTAACGTTATGGATAAATAGGCATTTATCGATAACATGATCGATAAATAGATTATCGATGAGAAGATAGATAAATGGTAATGCGTTCTACTCATTCTATGTTTTACTTTAGTCTCCATTTATCAATCACCTTATCGATCAGTCATTTATCGATAATATGATCGGACTCTGCGTGTAGGTAATTATTTCAGTAGCTTATCGATCACCTGATCGATCAGAAAATTATCGATCAGATGATCGATAATTAGCACATCGCTTTTAAACCATGATTCTTCGATCACGAGATCTATAATCACATTATCGATAATATGATCGATCACAGCACTTCATGCTTGCCTTGTTTTTCACATAACGTGATTGATAATTCAGTTCTTTGACTATGCAGGATTAAACCTCTTTATCGATCACTTGATCGATCACCTATTCGATTAACCTGTGTTTTCACTTAATATACTTTTGCTTATTGTTTATCGATAAGGTTATCTATCATCTATTTATCGATAATGTGTTCGAAAATTATTGCTTTAAATTCTGTTCTATAACACTTTGTTAATCGATAACCTGATCAATCAACAAGTGTTTGATCACTTGTTCGATCATTGTACAAGTTCATTTCATAACAGCATTTCACGATGATTTCGAAATATTTTATCTTTTTATCTTTAAGCTTTTCTCAGCCTTCTTTTTACACATAACTCTCTATTAAAAGGATATGAAGGCAAACGTAACTTGAAAAATTTTATTCTTGCATAAATCATTTAAAGATCACTGCATTCATGTTTCATCAATTATCGATCACATGTTCGATCATCATATGATCCATAATCTATTCGATAATTGCATATATCTGCTATATCTTTTCTTTATATAATTAATCGATAATATGATCGATCAAAGGATTATCAATCAAGGCATCGATTAAGTAAGTTCATCTTACTTTCTGAATATCTGAAGATCTGATGATTGGTTCCATGTTTTCCAACTTATTGTTTCAAGATTATCATATATTATCACTTGATCTGAGGAAGATTATTTCAGGTAAAGAGCCACAACGAATTTATGATGTGAAGAATCGACTTTTGTTAGAAACTTCCAATGGCTAGTTTCAACGATCATATTCTTCAAGCCAAACAGGAAGAAAATGCTCAACGGTCAAGTACCCAATATCATCTATAAATAGAAGAGCATTCAAAACAAGAAAAAGAAGAAGAGTTTGAGCTTACAACATCAAATGCTAAAATGCCGAATCAACATATTCTCATTTAGAGCTCTGAGAGAAAACTCCCTATCTCTGTACTTCATAGACTAAAACATATGTATTCGTAAGATTGAGAGGAGAGTTTCCCAAATGTGCTTAAGATTCGTCTATCACTTCTTTGAGAGAAGAAATATTCAATCTTCATTATCATTATTAGATTGTATCCTAACGGTGAGTAAGGGGGAGTATTTACCTCGGTGTGAGGTTACTGTTGAATAGACTGGTTAGTCTAAAAATTGTAAGTGGCGTCACAAGTGCCCGGATCAAACTTGTGGTTGTAGTGGTTCTCAAGTACCCGTGTAAAACTTGAGGGAGATAGTCGATTGAAAATCTCAGGGGGAGCCTAGGGATCGGACGTAGGTCAGTGAGGACCGAACCAAGATAAATCACAGTTTGCATCTTCTCTTCCCTTACCTTTTTATATTTCCAGCTAAACCATTTTACTACTGTGATTATGCTTATGTCGATTCATTGTTTTTATACTCATAATTTCTTATGAATTTCATTACACTGCGAAAAGGTTTTTAATTTTAACTAACACCTAATTCACCCCCTCTTGGGTGTTCAGCCATTCTTACAGAAATGAGTATTTAAGTGCATGGGTATGTAGGTTGGGAGTGAGTTGCAAATTTGACGGTGTTTATGGTTTAAGAAATTCATGTTCATACTGTTTTAAGTTGTTAAAGATGTGGTGTTTGTGATTTTTGAAAAGTGGGTGCATATTGAGTATAATGCGCTGCTAAAGGAACTTAGGTAGGCTGAAATGAAAGGGAAATGGGTGTGTGGGCTGGAATGGGTTATATGACAGGTAGATGTGCATAGGAATGGTGAAAATATGTATTACGATTGTAAATTTTCTAATTCTAGTTGTGTACGAGAAAAAACAATATAATGTTGCGAAAATACTAATTCTTGTTGTTAATTGTCAAATTGCTGATGTAAACGTACACTGTCTTTAATTACTAAAAGTTGATTGAAAGTCATACTTGAATGATGTGTAGCAGCAGAGGATAAATGGCTAGTAATAGTGGGAAACAATTATTTTGCATCTTTCATGTTGGAGGGCACTTTGTAAAGACCTCAGAAGGAAAATTCATTTATGAAGGGGGCATCATTATTGGAAGATTGATTAGAAAAGGGATGACATATGAAGAACTACAATGCATGGTAGCTCATGATGTGTGGCCAGGGACTTGTGAATATAAAATGAAGCACACAGTTAGCTTTGACCGAGACACATTCTTGGATCTTGTTGACGATATTGGTATTGGACAAGTAATTGAGTACAACAATAGTAGTGGCTATGTTTATGTTCATGAGAATGAGAAAGATTTCACACAAGTGTCACAGCTGGACAGTGTACAAGAGTAAGTTGTTTTCAACTGGTTTTATTAAGATTGTGTTTAGGATAAGAAATCTGTCCAATTTTGATAAATTGAACTGTAATACTCAATAGCTGTATTTGTTTATGCAAGTTAGATGATTTGGTTGGCCCTTATAGAATGTCAGTATCTCCAATTGAATTGGATCTAGACACAGACAACATAAACATATCTCCCGTACAAGATGTGCCAACACTGATAGGAAGTCTAGGTATGGAAATGTTGCCAACCCCAATAGCGGTGATGAATTCATCAAAGTGGGCAGATTTGTTGATGTTAAAAGGGCAAACCTTTGTTAGTGCTGAACATTTTAGAGATTCATTATATAAATATAGCCTTGCACACAACTTTGGTTACCGGTATGTAAAGAATGATAGGCATAAGATGATTGTGAAGTGCTGTGTAGATGTTGTCCCTGGGAAATTTCAGCATATGGTGTAGATGAGAAAAATGGATTCCTAGTTGTGAGAAGATTTAACAGTGAACACTTGCATTATGCACAAGACAACTTAGTTGTCCCTCAGAGAAAGAGGTGTAAACTTGCTTTAGCAGTCATAGTAGATGAGTTGACTTCTTGCATACACAAATCTCCAAATGACATTAGACGGGATTTGGAAAGAGAATATGGGTTGAGCCTCAACTACGAACAAGCATATAGGGTGAAAGAGAAAGCATTGGCACAAATTCATGGTTGTCCATAGGAGTCTTATATGGTAATCCCTTGGATATGTGAAAGGCTAAAGGAAAGTGATCCAGAAATGGTAGCAAAGTGGGTTGCATCATCAGGTAATAGATTTCAAGTTATATTTATTACATATGGTTACTGTGTAAAAGGGTTTTTGAAAGGTGGTAGACCTATATTATATGTGGATGGATGCCACTTGAGTGATCCGTACATTTAGTACATTATTGGGAGCACAAGCGTATGATGCGGGTAATGAATTATTCCCACTTGCATATGCAATTGTTGGAGGTGAGACACTTGATAAGTAGGCATGATTTCTTGGTAACATAAAGGATATTACAGGATCATTAGAAGTGACAATAGTATTGGATAGGCACAACTCAATAAAAGGTGCAGTGCAAGCCGTGTTTGGAAGAGATTGACATGCTTTTTGCTACAGTCATGTGAAGGAGAATTACAGTGCTGAGTTCTTGAAGATAACCAGGGGAAAGATGAGGACCAGCAGACAGACAAAGGAAGTTGCACTAAAATTACTTGATTCTATTGCATACGCAAGACTTGATAGAGACTTTGATCGCAGTCTGGAAAAGCTAATGGGATTTTGTCCAGAATTGGAACAATGACTTCAAACAAATAGAGACATTGAGCGTTGGGCACAAAGCAAATTTCCTTACAAGAGGTGGGACAATATCACAACAAATCTAGCTGAATCCTTTAATGCTTGGCTTGTTGGTGAGAGGAAGCACAACATAGCTATCTTGATACATAAGCATAGGGAAAAATTGGCAAACAAGATGTACAACAGCAAAGAAGCCATGAGGAATTGGACCAGTGGTATGGGACCTAATATAGAGGAAAAGTTGATAGATCATGTGGCCAGATCAGAAAGAATGGATGTGCAAGATTATGGAATGAACAATTTCAGGGTCAGATGGGGAAACCTAGATGTGCGGGTAAATCTTGTGTTACGTGAATGTACCTGCAAAGGTTGGCAAATGTCAGGACTACCTTGCCCACATGCATGTGCTGCAATCAAGAAGGTATATGGTAATATATATACATATGTCGAGGATTGCTTTTTACTCTCAGCCCAATAGAAAATTTATGGCAAACTCATGATTCCAATTGAAACCCATGACATCCCTAGGCCAGATTCCCTTCGATATGAAGATTACTCGTCCACCATCTTCCTACAACCACCATTGACAACTCGTCGTGCTGGAAGACCCAGAGTTAGGAGGATTGAATCACAATTCCAGCAGAAGAAGCTGTATCATTGCTCAAGATGTGGTAAAGCCGGTCACACTAGAAAGACTTGCAGTAACCTGAACCCTGGGTGACTTTGTTGCTGAAAATAGTCTTTTATTTTTTTGGTTCAATACACAACTACTTTTGTACATAAATGAGCCCCACTATGTAGTTCTTGAGTTGTTGGGGAAGTAGCTATGACAACCCATTTTGATTTTTTAGTAGTGGGTTGGATTATATTTTGTATAATGCTGTTAATAGTTGAAATATTTCATGATAGTAGGTGATTATAGCTGTCCCAGGTTATGTTAGGTCGTAATCTGTCCACATACAAATGGAGTATTTTTAGTTATAAATATATGTATATATGTTGCAAATTGTGTAATGTCACTTGCAAATTTGCTCTCCCTTACCTGTCCACTCACGGACAGCTTCTTCAGGTGAAGTCGTCACATATAAATGGACTGATTCTAGTTGTGAATATATGTATGTATATTGCCAATTTTCTAATGTCACTTGCAAATGGTATATGGAACCACACTTGGACACATTCTCTAGGCTAATCAGTCCACATGCAAATGGACTATTTTTAGTTGTAACTATATGTATCTATGTTGCGAATTGTCTAATCTCATTTGCAAATAGGCCCTCGCACACCTGTTCACTCACGGACATCTCCTTTAGTACGAGTAGGTCACATGCAAATGGACTATTTATAGTTGTGAAAATATGCATGTATGGTGCAAATTGTCTAGTCCCACTTGCAAATGGGCTCTCCCACACTTAAGTCGGACACATGCATCAGGTGAATCAGTCTACATGTGAAGCCAGGTATGTGTCTTGCAAATTAGCTAGTTTCCCTTGCAAATGAGGTCTCCCACCCATGTTCCCTCATGGACACATGCTTCAGGTGAACCAGTCCACATGTAAATGGATGATTCCACATGTGAATATAGGTATATCTTTTACAACTTGGCTAGTTTCCTTGCAAATGGACTCTCCCCCACTTGTTCCCTCACGGACACATGCTTCAGGTGAACCAGTCCACATGTGAATGGACTGATTCCACATGTGAAGCCAAGTATGTGTCTTGCAAATTGGCTAGTCCCCCTTGCAAATGGGCACCCTGTTCAGGTCAAGGACGGCACATGTAAATGGACTGATTCTAGTTGTAAATATATGTATAGGGGTTGCAAATTCCCTAGTTCCACATGGAAATGGACACCTTATTTAGGTGAAGGAGGGCCCTTGCATATGTAAGAGGATATGTTGTTCAGCTGATGAACGACACTTGTGAATGGTCTAATTGTTGTCGTTAACTTATTTGTCTCTCTTGCAAATTGTCTAATCGTTTGTGCAAAGGGCTAATCCTTAATGTAGGTTGTTCAGTTGGAAATAGATGAACATTTGGTGTTAATTTTTGTATTGTTGCTGCAAATTCTCTAATTTCTGTTGTCAATCGTACATCTAATCAAAGTAAACAAGTACTGATAATATGAATCCATCAAAACAGACTTTATTAACATCTTTTGTATGCATAACATTTAAGTCTGCATAAAGTGTTCACAACAACAATTATAGTGCTTATCAGCGAAAACTACAAGGTAGGAATTTGCTCTGTCATCACTTTCTCTTGCGTTGTCTATTAATTTGGTCAAGGTGTTTAGCAACAGCATTTGACTTAATGTTTCTTTTATGAGTCATGAGCCACCACAACAGCTCACACCGTATAGATGTGTAATGATCATATGGGACAACAATAACTTTTCTCAGTAAGTTCACACAGATACATGATGTCATTAACATATAATTTAACACCTACTGCTGTATAATAAGGCATGGTGAATTGAACTCCATCCTTCTCTTGTGGGTTGGGCCACTCTCTTAGATATGTAATGATATGAATCCTACAATCATCACTGAAAAAATGACCACATCACTATGTTGGCTTATCTATGTCGATTATAAATTATGACAAATAACTTACAGTGAACAAAAAACTCACGTATTGTCTTGAACATGAACAATAGGATACAAGATGACATTATTTGAATATGGGTTGGCCAAAGCCTCCAGCTCAGGCTTCACTCTCTTAGTATTTCAATGAAGTGTGCCCTCTACACAATTACCAATAATTATCACACAGGGGATACTATGGTTGTCCACAAAAGTAGCAGAATGATTACAACACTTACACAAGTTTGCGCCATCATTTGCTGCCCCTTTAATGCTAGGTCAGAATTTTTCTTCTTCTTTTGGCACTTCATTGTATCCTTACCGCCATGTAGAGAGTTCAGCACATAAGACTTTAGTGTGCTTGGTTCAAACACAAAGTAAAACCAATACAGTGCAAACAAAACAGGTGCAAATATGTATTCACATTCAGCCAAATTGTATCCCAGGTGTTAGGGGAGTAGTTCTTTCAGATGTTTGTCCACTTGCCATATGTGTGTTCCTGCACCATCCTTGCCTATCACAACAGCAAATTGCACAGTAATGCAAATTGTTAGTGAAGAAACTGTACCGATAACTTGATTGAACAATTTAAAGCATTGACCTATTAACAGGGGATAGCACTAACTGTGAAATCTGCATCAAATATGTGTCTTTTAACTACAAAGGCATTCTCCTGTTGGTCAGCGTTCAAGGTGTAAGCAATCAGAGACATGATCTGCATATTAAAGGAGCAGGAAAATTAAAAATATGGCACATTCCAGATATGGCCACTTTGATATAAATTGAACAGGTGCACATACCCTATTGCTTATCCACCTTCTAGGACCCAGTGCTTGCAGGTCTGCTTGTGTTGCCAAATGCCCAAACATATCTATCATGACCCTACAACAAATATGAAAGTGAAAATAAGTAGTCAGTATTGCATACTAGTATTATTCATAGGCTGTCTTTTCCATAATAATTGACTATACTTGCTCTTGAGCCTCATCTGGTTGACACCACTCAGTACACATAGCATAAAATGCATCCCTGTTACTCATTTTCACCTTTCTGCCATAAGTAGACATGTAAGGAGATTTCATTGTTGGGAGTTTACGTCTACTTGACCTCCTTGTGGGTAGCTGCACTGCTTTGCCCACCATTTTCCCTTCTTTGTTTCCTTCTTCACTTTCAGCTGCTTGTTCACCTTCAGTATCTTTTTTTTGCAGCTTCATTTTCTCTCACATTGTCATTCTCTTCTTCATCTTCCTCTTCTTCTTCTTGTAGTTCATCATCATGCGATTTCTCACCACTTTGATGTTTTTCTCCGCTCTCTACAGTCATAACTTCATCATGTTGTGGTTGCTCATTTTCATCCTCATCAGTGTGGTGTTCTTTTCCTTCTTCTTCATTGCCTCCTCGGTTAAGAATTTTGTTTTCCAACTTAACCAATTCATCACAAACAAAGTTTTGAATCTTGGTCATTTTATTTTTCAATATGTTGTTGAAATTGACCCAAAACTCCTTAATGTCCTGCACATTGTAAATGTATGTCATCAAACAAATATTAAGTCTGACCAACAGACATTACCACATTGGTATTACTCACCAGATGATGGAAACTTTTACTACTCCCGGTTGTGTTGACTCATTCACTTCAGCAGAGGGTGGACTGTAGAAAATGCCATGTCGACTCTCCTTTTCCGTGTCAATTCTGCTCTTCATAGCCTTATCATCCCAATGCCTGATGGCATTTTTGTCTTTTGGTTCACCTCCTTGCAAAGGGAACCTTTGCAGGAAGTACAGCTACAGAGAAAGAAAAAACATGACTCAAAAATCAAATTACATAATATATCAATAGTTTAATGGTCAAACCATATCCAACAGGGCATATTTTGTAAGGAAATATGTAAGTACCAATAAAAAGTAGATGCACCCTCTGACAACTCTGGCACCCTCAATCTGTCCTTCCTTATTGCTCTTATTGTGTCGTTTAATTTCTTCACTGAGTTTGTCAAGCACAAAGGAAGCCCAGTCAAAATTTTGCCAGTTATTTTCTATGCAGGCCATTACTTTTAGTACCTTCTCACTTACAATTGCACTTCCCGTGGGACAAAGAAGAATTCCCACTGTGAAAAGAACAAAATAAAATTCAAAGTTTCCATCTTCTTCATCACTCATTATCTTCTCCGCAAATTAAGAATATGTCAGTAGAGTATAGTCCTTCTTCAGCTCATTTATTTCATCCTTGAAGCCATCCAACAATTACACCGAAGGTAAGTGGAAATACAGCTAATTGCTTGTGTCAATTGCCTAATTTTCCCTCTGAGGCCACTACAGATCAAATTCGAACAAACATGAAATTATGCAATAGAGGTGGTTAATTAACTAATTTTTGAGGTAAATTTCCTAACTTTCAGAGTCCAACACGCATCAAACAGTTACACATAAGCTTAGTGCAAATTCAGCTCACTGGTCGTGTCAATTGCCTAATTTTCTCTGTGAGGCAACTGCACACCAAATTCCCACAAACTTAGTGGGTAATTTACTAATTCTCCATGTAAATTGCCTGACTTGACAGATTCCACAAAATATGAAACTGTTAGATAGAAGCTAAGCAGATAATCTCCTAAATCCTCGTGTCAATTGACTAATTTCTCCTGTAAAGCCACTACAGATCAATGCCAACAAACATGAAATTTTAAACTGCAACTTGTTACTTTACTGATTGTTCATGTAAATTTCCTAACTTCTAGAGTCCAACACACATCAAGCAGTTACACAGAAGCTAAGTGGAAATTCAGCTAATTGCTCGTATCAATTGTCTAATTTTCCCTATGAGGCCACCGCAAACCAGATTCCCACAAACATAGTGGGTAATTTACTGATTCTCCATGTAAATTGCCTAACTTGACAGATTCCCAGAAACATGAAACTGTTAGACAGAAGCTAACTGGATAATCCCCTAATTCCTCGTGTCAATTGCCTAATTTTCCTTGTGAGGCCACTACAGATCAGATTCCAACAAACATAGCTGGTAATTTACTGATTCTTCATGTAAATTGCCTAAGTTGATAGATACATGCAAACATGAGGTTGTCACATGCAACTGGGTAGTCAACTAATTCTTCACGTCAATTGACTAACTCCCATTGTT